AAAAAAAAAAAAAGAGTACATTTTGCCCACATGCAGTGCTGACTGGTTTGAACTCCAGCTGGAGTCTGTAAATGTACAGGTGGGATGCCCTGGGCTGGGGAAAGAACACTCACCTGCAAGGCCACCTTGTAGAGCTGAGTCATGGTAAGTATGGCCTTCTTCACCACATTCACATTCTCGTCCCTCAGGAGCATGTTGAGGTTTGCAATCAGTTTCAGCAATAACTCAATGTCTCGCTTGCTGGGTGGTGGAGGAAAAGGGACAAAGTCAAGCTGGTCTCAGTGGGCAGCGCAAAGGTGGGGTCCAAGTGTAAAGAGAATTCAGAGCCCATAACTCAGGGAAATGGAATGGAGATGGCAACTGGGGACCATATATGTTGTGTGTGCCAGCACTTCTGGAAGCTGAGAACAATGCCCCGCACTTCTGGTCTGAGCTGCCCTGAACCTTGTATCTTGCCTGGTCCTGCAACTCCCACTTAGAGCCCTGCTAGACACAGAGGGGAAAAGAGCCAGACATTTGTGAATTTGGGCAAGTAACCACATCTCCTTGTGAGTGTGGTACTGGGCACAGAACCCTGGGCCTCGTACCATGCCTCCTCGATGAAGCCAATGACAAATTTTCGCACTTCAATTGACTTGTCTGCTTGGAAAGCAATGATCTCCTGCCAATGTCAGAGAAAAAGTGTGTCAGGGCACAGTGGGATGCGTCCCTACCCCCACCTTTGCACTCCACCAATCACTCACATCCAGGAAGTTGTCTAGTAGTGTGGGGTCTTTGTTGATGATCAGTTCCTGGACCTGGAAGGAGATTAGGTTGGGGAAGAGGAACAGACATAAAACTAGGATCCAATCAATGCAGACAAGACAGTAGGGGTCAACAGGCACAGGCCTAGCTTCCTGGCACTGCCACTCCCTCCTCTGCACCTGAGCAAGTAGCGTTCCCTCCCTGAGCCTATTAGCTATACTGTAAAATGAGAGCCTCAGGAGTGCTGTGAGATCCTACAGGGGCAGTGCTGGGAGGCAGTGAGAACATGATGCACTGGCACCACTCAGTGAGCGTCCTGTGCCAGTGAGAGTCATTTCCTGAGGCCCTCACCTGGCAGGCTCTTTGGAATAAACCCACTGCACAGCCTCCTGCAGACACAGCACTTTGCTCCCACAGCTCAATATGCTGTCACTTGACAGCCCTCACCACCACTGGTGCCTGCTGTTTCCGACTCTCCATGGTCACACGCTGAGCAAGCAGCAGAGCCGGGTTCTCACTCCAGTCTCCGACCTCCAGCTGCCTCCTATTCTGAACCATGCCGTCCTTTGCCTCTGCGTACCTTCACGCCTTCTGCGTGAGATGACCTTGTGCTCCAGTGTGGTACTCCTCCCTCCTTATCCCCCAGAATCTTGCTCAAAGTAGCCTCTCTTTGAGAAAGCCTCTGCTGAGTGCCACCCCAGGCCAGGTCAGGTGCCAGCTGTGTGCTCCTATAGCCCACAGGTCATCGTCATTTGGTGACAGATATGGCTTCCCCACCACACTGCACCCTTATAAGACAGGAAATACAATGAAGAGCAGAGAAATCCAGAATTCCAGAGCTAGTGCAGCCGGCTGCTAGCACAGCAATCTTGCTCTAATGAGGTAAGCTTGGGGCTTGCTCTCCGTAAACCCCGCCTCAGAGTACTGGTGTCTTCACAGCACAGTCTGTTTGAGCCCCGTCCCACCTGTTTGAGCACTGTGATCTTTGAGTCGTTGGTGATCAGTGCAGCCTGGTTCAGGAGATCCACCACCTGGAAAGAAGGGAGAGGCATGTGACAGAGCTGGCCTCAGCAGCCCAGGCCACTCCCAGCTCTGCCACCTGGGGTAAACCATCCCGGCTCCCAGCCCTCCTCACACTCACCCTCTCTGAAGTGGTCATGCCATCAACGCCTGGCCCTTCTTCTTGTGTGAAAAACTGTGATGCTACACTCCGGCGAGTGACACTGTCGCCGCTGCCGCTTGCCATGGTTGCCTTCAGGTGTTCCCTAGAAAAAAGAGGCTGAATTAAGCTCTGGGCTCTTGATTCATCCTTGAATCTGCCTCACTGCCCTGGGCCTCCTGTCTCTCCATCTGGGCTCTACTTTGGCCTGCGCACCAGAGCAAATTCCAAAACAGCTTCAAGGCATACCAGTCCCAGAGTCCTGCAGATAACAGGGATTCCCTGTATCAGGAAAAGGCCTGAAATCCATTGCGTTTCAACCATTCTCTAGAATACCTCGGGGCTGTTTAGAAAAGGGAATGAGGGGACCACCTGAGCATCTACCACAAGGTCATCCTGGAAAAATTACAAAATCATTAATGCAGAAAGATAGCAATTACAGTATTAGTCACCATAGCAAAATTCTAGACACAAACCAAGTGTTTACCAATAGACTGGCTAAAAAAAACCAAAAAACAAAAAAACAACCCATAAACTGTAATATATCCACACATTAAGACTATGGGGGCCGGGGAGATGGCTCAGTGGAATAAGCACTTCCCTGGCAAGTGCAAAGGCCTGAGTTCAATCCCTGTTTCCACCAAAAATAAAAAAATACTATGCAGCTAAACAGGCACCATGGCATACACCGGCAATCCTTGCTACTCAAAAAGCTGAGGCAGGGGCTGGTGAGATGGCTTGTTCACTTACTTAGAACAAGCTTAGCAAAGCACAGGGACCACAGTTCAATCCCCCAGCACCACATGCCAGCCAGCCCCGCCCCCTGGTGGGCTGAACTGGCCACACACACACACACACACAAATAAATAATTAAAAAAAAAAAAAAAAAAGCTGAGGCAGGAAGATCATAAGTTCAAAGCCAACCTGCACTGGACAGCAAGTCCCTGTCTCAGGATAAAAGGACTAGAAACGTAGTTCAGTGGTAATATACTTGTCTAGTATGAGAAAGGTCCTGTGCTCAATCTCGCGCGCACGTGTGTGTGTGTATGTGTGTGTTGGGGCCATCTGGGAGTCGTGCCTCATGCCTATAATTCCACCACTAGGGAGGCTGAAGCAGGAGGATTGCCCTAACAGATCAATGTAGGCTACACAGTGAGTTTAAGGCCAGCCTGAACTACAATGAAACAAAAGGAATGAGAATTTTTACACAGTAATAGAGAAAAGTGTACAACAATACTTACTATATGTTCCCTTTTTCCAAAAAAAAAAAAAAAGAGAGAACTACATATATATTTTTTAAAAGAACGTAAAATAAAACTGGAGGGACAAAACCAAAAAGCAGAAAAGGAAAGTAACAAGAAGAGGAAAGTAAAAGCAAGCTGGTGGCTCTCAGTGTACTATCATCAGAAAGAGGTGGACACAGCAGCCTGTGGCAACAGAACAGCGACTCCATCCTTTCGCAGTACTGGTGTTTGAACTCTGGGCCTCGCACTTGCCAAGCAGGCCTTACGCCACTGAGCTATGGCCCCAGGCCAATTCCATCCTTTTTCTGTCCTGATGTGTGTGCGCACAGAGCTACCTGGGACAACATCTCTGGGTCTGGTAAAATGACAGTGACAGGATTACAGTGAAACATTAAATGAGTTTGGGCTGGGGAGATAGCTCGGTAGTCTAAGTGCCTGCCTGGCAAGTGCAAGGAACCGAGTTCAATTCCTATACCACATGCCATGCCAGCCTCAGAACCCTGGGCGTGGGGGTGCACGTCTATAATCCCAGCACTGGGGAAGCTGAGACAGCAGGACCACTATGAGTCTGAACTGCGTAGTGAGACCCTGTATCAAATACACACACACACAATTTTTTTTTTTTTTTGCGGAACCAGGGATTGAACTCAGGCCCTTGTGCTTGCCAGGCAAGCATTTATTCTACTGAGCCATCTCCCCGGCCCCTATATTTTCTTTCTTTCTTTTTTTTTGGCAGAACCAGGGATTGAACTCAGGCCCTGTGAGCCATCTCCCTGGCCCCTCCTTATATTTTCTTAATTAAATAAGTTAGTACACACCATAAACATCAGATAAGTACAACTATTATCATGTACCTGAAAAATATGTGGGTATTACATAAGTGTCAATAATAATGATTAAATCTGCTCTTCCATTAAATTTCAGATGCATAATACAGTATTGCTAATGATGGTCACAATGCTCTGTATTAGATCCACAGAATTGTTCATCTTATACTAAAATTTTGTACCCTTTTGCCAATATAAAGGTTTGGTAGAGACAAGACAAAGAGGAAAAATGACCTGTACATAATTCAGTGTATACAGGGAAAAACAAAATAGTTGTCAGGGAAATACTAGGCCCTTCCCTCACATATTATGCAACGTCAACAATGGTCTCAAATATGTTCTTACAATAAATAGAAATACGGCTCTGAGCTTCCTAGAAGCCACATAAATAAAGGAAATAAGACAAAAAATAATAATAATAATAATGATTAACAATAATTAGAAAGTGAAAAAGACATTTGTAAAGAAACGTAACTTTTTTGGGGGCCGGGGAGATGGCTCAGTGGAATAAGTGCTTCCCTGGCAAACACAAGGGCCTGAGTTCAATCCCCGGTTCTGCCAAAAAAAAATTTAAAAAAAGAAACATAACTTTTAAAATCATGTATGTATGTATGTATCTGAGGGCTGGCCAGATAGCTTAGTGGACTAAAGCGCCTGCTTAGGCAGAGCACAGTGGTCAGGGTTCGATCCCTAGCACGCTGTGCCATAATTCCAGCACTTGGAAGGCTGAAAATAGGAGAATCACTACAAGTCCAACTTACATAGTGAGACCCTGTAGACCCTGTCCTAAATAATTTTAAAAAAAAATATTTATGTATTTGGTACAGGCTCTCACTACACAGCTCCAACTCATAATGATCCTCCTGTCTCAGCTTCCCCGGCTCTGGGACTACAGGTGTGCACCACCATGCCCAGTTTCAGCGGCCAGGTGGCTTAGGGCTGGGTGGCAGGGTGGGCACAGCATCTTGTACATGGTAACTGTTCCTAATAAGTGATGTTGAGGGAATAACTATGTAGCAGCTTCCTGCCTACTTTTGGGGCTGCCTGTCTCCTCCACATCTTGCTCAGTCAGAGCACAAACCCCTAGTAAGGCCTACGAGGTCTCACAGGACCTTCCCTCTTCTACCTTTGTCTCCAGCTCCTACTTGGCTCCAGCCACTCTGGCCTCCTTGCTGCCCAGCGAACAGCCCTTCCTCCAAGCCTGTGTCTCTTCCTCATGCCTGGACTCTTCCAGCCCCCAGAGAACAGCACCAATCCCTCTGTCCTTGTTCCCCTCAAATGTGCCTGCAGTGAGGCCTCCCGTGCCCACTTTATTTCAGGTCCTTCCTGTTTGTGTTGCTGCAGCTTGCTCTATGGCAGTCACAACACCACACACCCAGCAGTTGCAGGACGATGGAGATTTAGTGTTGACTTTCTGTACCCTCAGCACCTACTAGGTGCTCAGTAAATACCTGCAGAATGGCCCAACCCTCCTACCAGTGAAGCTTCCCAGGCACAGGGCTCGGTATCTGCTCTTGGCCTGTCTAATACGTGGGAGATGAACACCCTGTAGACCCTTCCCTAAAATACAAAAAAAAAAAAAAAAAATCTATGACCTAATTCAGATTGCCTTATAATTTGCTATCGTTTCTGGCCAAAATAATTTCTTTAGGGGCCGGGGAGATGGCTCAGTGGAATAAGGGCTTCCCTGGCAAGCGCAAGGGCCTGAGTTCAATCCCTGGTTCCGCCACACACACACACAAAAAATAATAATAATAATTTCTTTGGTACTCCTCCTGCCTCCCTGAACCAATCAAATCTCTTCACTTTTTTTTTTTTTTTTTTTTTTTTGGTAGAACCGGGGATTGAATTCAGGCCCTTGTGCTTGCCAGGGAAGCGCTTATTCCACTGAGCCATCTCCCTGGCCCTACTATTTTTGCAATATTGAGGATTGAACCCTGGATCTCTGCACTGACCTATGTCCCCAGTCCTTGTTTATTTATTATTTTATTTATTTTTGCGGAACTGGGGATTGAACTCAGGCCCTTGTGCTTGCCAGAGAAGCACTTATTCTACTGAGCCATCTCCCCACCCCCCTTGTTAAGTTACCTAGGCTGGGCTTAAATTTGGGATACTTTTGTCTCAGCCTCTCAGAATATTACGATTACATTAGGTGTCACCAAGCCCAGCTTTGATTTCGTTTTTAAAAGGAAGTATCCAAAGGAATTGGCTCAGGACCCCCTTCAGACACTAAAATCTTGCTCACATTCCTTATGACAAATGGCAGTTTCCGGCTGGGGAGATAGCTAAGAGGTCTAAGCAGCTGCCTGGCAAGCGCAAGAACACAGGTTCAATTCCCAATACTGCATGCTGTTCCAGGTGTGCCCTGCTGGCCACCGTACATGGTGGTACACGCCTATAATCTCAGCGCTGGGGAGGCTGAGACAGGAGGATCACTACTAGTCGGAGTAGTGAGACCCTGTACCAAATACATAAAGATAAAAACAATTTTTAAAAATGGCAGTTTTGGGGCCGGGGAGATGGCTCAGTAGAATAAGTGCTTCTCTGGCAAGCACAAGGGCCTGAGTTCAATCCCCGGTTCTGCCCAAAAAAAAAAAAAAGGCAGTTTCCATAAGGCCTAGGCACATTCTCCTGGGTACTTTCAATCACCATATTAGTATAATGCCTAATGTAATGTCAATAAATGTTATACTGTATCGTTTAAGGAAAAATAAAACTGTACATAATCAGTACAACACATTTTTCCTAAATATTTTCACTTCAAGGTTGGTTGAAACCACAGGTGGAGCCCAGGATACAAAAGGCTGAGTATACACTGTATAATAAACACTATTTTCCACTTGTTTTCATTCAGTGTAGGTAGGTCAGTTGTTTAAGTGCCTGCTTAAGCAAAAGCAGGGGGCTGGAGAGATGGCTCAGTGGAATAAGCACTTCCCCGGCAAGCACAAGGGCCTGAGTTCAATCCCCGCTTCCACCAAAAAAAAAAAAAGCAAAGGCAGTCAGGCTCAAGATACTATGGTTCAATCCCCAGATCCTCAAGCTTTTCCAGACATGCCCTAAGGCATCCTGAGCCAGCCAAAAAAATAAAATAAATAAATAAATAAATAAATCCTTCAGTGTATGTTGGAGCCCGTACTATCAAGATTTTCTTCCTTGGGGCCCGGGAGATGGCTCAGTAGAACAAGGGCTTGCCTGGCAAGCCCAAGTATCTGAGTTCAATCCCCGGTTCTGCAAAAAATATATATATATTTTTTTTTTCTTCCTTTTCTCTTTTTTTTTTCTTTTTATAGTTGTATCGCATTTTAATTATGGGGATTTATCAGTTTCTTCAGCCAACAATCATCCCAGTGAGGTACATCCAGAATGTCTGTAGTCTTCCTCTCTATTAGCGTGTCTCGGTTTCTGCCCCACTCCGTGGACTCCTTACTGAGCAGATCGTCTCACTCCCACCTGGGAGTTGGGTGTTTCTTCTGTTACTCCCAAACACTGGCGCTAGTAGTAATTTTCATTCATTCAACGGCCATAAGTGGGCCTCTCCGTTGTGACTGCCAGCCTAGATTCGATCCACCCAACTCCTGGCCTGACAGTACCCTTGGTAACATTCATAACCAAACAGCATACAAAAGCCTAATCACAAATTAGACCACACATAACAAGAAGGAAAGGAACAGGGACACAGTATGAGTGCATGTTAACAGGCCGATTTCGGGATGGAGGGCGGGAAAGGAGGGCTTCCCAGGGGAAGTGACGTCGGCGCGGAGACCCAAAGAATGAATGAGTTAGCAAGCTAGAGGGGTAACAGGATGTTGCGGACCGAAGTGATAGGTGGGCAAAGAGGGAAGGCGCCTGAGTTTGAGGAACCGAAAGGCTAGTGTGGCTGTGCTAGAGATAAGCAAAGACATGGAGTGGAAGCCGGCGAGGTCCCTGGGGCGAACGCGCCCGTGGGGGTCACACTGGAACTTTGCCCAGAAAGCACTAGGGAGCCAAGGAAGGGTGCTGAGCAGGGAAAGAAACCGGAGCCCCGAACACTGCGGTTTCCCTCTCCGCCAGCAGCCCTCTCCGCCCGCACTAGTCCTCGTTCCCTCGTCTCGGGGCCCTCACGCCGCCTCCCTCCTACCGCGGCTCCAGCCTCCGCGCCTCTCGCGCCCCCTCAGCAGCGCCTCTTCGCAGACGCCGCCGCCGCCGCCATCTTCCGCCCAACGCCGTGACTCTGCGCACACTCTGCACACACAGAGCCACTGGGAAATGGAGTCCAGTCCTTGGCCCGCCCCCGCCCCTAACTCTCGCCTCGCGGACCGCCTTCCGCTCCCCGCCTGCCTCCGCCCCAGCGCCCTCCATTTTCCGGCCCAAAAGGCGCTAAGCCTTTTGGGAAATGTAGTACCTGGCGGAAGCGCAGGACGGAAGCTGAAATAGAGCCCTCTGGGAAATGTAGTTCACAGATCTGGAGTCCCTGGACGGCCAGCTAGTTTTGGAGTGGAGTCCAGAAGGCGAAGCTCCTGGATTTGGGAGGTAGTCAGACTACCTTCCAAACCCACCACGATCGTTTCCACCTCTGGTTCTGACTCTATACACAGTCTGAAGTATTTGTAGCCGTCGGAAGTTTCAGTCTTTCCGCCTGTCCAATGGGAATGTGGTTTTGAGCATCTCTGACAGGTCATTTTATTGGCATGTTGGTAACTCGAGTTTGTAGCGCTCCGAATCCCCTCTCCTCCACAGCGGACCAGTTTTTCGCCCTCTGTGACAGACATGATGAAGAGTCCTGGGATAGGAAAACTCCCCGAATTGTGCCCCTGAGGACTTTAGTATCAGCAGTGCCTCCCACCTGTAGCTTCCTCCCGCACCCAAGGCCAGCTCCCGGGGTCCTAGGGCAGCGGCTCCCGGCGCCTGAGGTCTGTGTCCTGGCGATCCCGCAGGGGGCGCCCCAGTCCGGGCGCACCGCCCTCGGGGAGGTGGGAGGGGACCCCGGGGCGGGCCAAGGCAGGGGTGTCCCGACTATAAAGCGTGGCCGCCTCCCTCGGCGCTCGGGACAGCGGGACCCCGGGCGGTCGGACGGGCCGACGCCGGTCGCAGCTCGGGCCGTGCCCGCCGAGAGATCCGGACCCACCGTGTTCCCCGGGGCCGGGGCCGGGGTCGGGGCCGGAGCCGGGGTGGGTGGGGGCTCAGGCCCGGGGGATGCTGGGCTCGGTGAAGATGGAGGCCCATGACCTGGCCGAGTGGAGCTACTACCCGGAGACGGGCGAGGTGTGTCCTCCGGGATGGCGGAGCGGGAAGTGGGGGGCAGGTATCGGGGTGTGGGCTTTAGTAGGGGCCAGGGGCCGAAGTGTGCGCTCAGATGGTGACCAAAGCATCTAACTGGGGAGCCCAGGAGCCAGGGACACGGAGGCCAGGTGTGGGAGTGAGGGCCAGTGGACAAGGCTTCGCAGCGTGGTTTGGGCGAGCTAGTGGGGGCCATGGCTAACGTGGGTGGAAAGCTTAAGCAAGACTTAAGTCACACCTTAAACGTGAAGGCTGGATGTTGGGCTCCAGAATCCTTGGGATTAAAATGGATAAACCAAAGGTAGGAATCAGAGCTCCAGACTGGGGAACAGAGCTGGAGGAGTTCAGGAAAGGGAATTCAAAAGGATGGAGAAAGTTAGAAACTTAAGGGTGGAGGAGGTCGCCACTGGTCACCATTATAGGAAGCTTGAGGTGGACGGCAGGGTCAGAATACAGAGTTAATTCAAAGATGGAGTTGGGGTGGTGGGAACTACAATTGGGGTTCAGGAATAGGGATCAGCTGTCAATCTACGTTTGGATCAGAAAGAGGGGCTGGTGGAGCTCATTGGTAAAAAAAAATGAAGGTTCTCAAAGATAAAGCTTTTTGGGGAAGAGCTGAAATAACAGGTGGCCTGGATGGGTCAGCTTTGGGGACCTGAAAGTAAGAGATGTGGCCAGCTGGCTTGGCAGTAGTCAGTCTTCATGCCCCCATCTGTACCCATGATCCTCAGCAGGACTCCCCAAGTCAGAGGCTGGGAGATTTCAGGTTGAAATTTCTCCCGCATCCAGCACCGTGCCGCCGTTGCATCCAGCACCGTGCCGCCGTTGCATCCAGCACCGTGCCGCCGTTGCTAAAGTCTGCATCCATCCCTACCTCATACAAAGCTTCCTAGGGTGGGTGGCAGGGGCACATCCTAATGTCTTCACCCAGCAGACAGTCCTTCCCCAAATCTAACCATGATTCTTCTTGGTGCAAGAACTCCTGCTTCGCTCATGTGCTCAGGAATCAGTACTGTGAGCTTGGGGAGGTGGGCATGGCGGGGTCTGGACGCTTGGATTCTGAACCTGGAAGGAGACTGTGTGCTTGTGGTGAGGGCATAGGGTTGGAAAGGCTGGCACTGCCAAGGAGTCAAGATCTGGTGGTTTCCTAGGGCTTGAGGCTGTCTGGTGAGACTTTTGGATCCCTGGGCTCTGGGGCTTGGCACGGTCCCAGGAGGGGCCAGTCCTGGGTTTGGGAGGTGTGAGGTGCACGTTGAGCCGGGTAGGACCAACCGGAGAAAGGATTGGTCTCTTGGAGAGGTGGAGGTGGGGGTGGCTGGAGGTCCAGTTGTAGGATGGGGAAGGCAGAGACCTGTAGGGGAGGGTCCCACGTACTGGGGAGATCAGAGTCTGAGCCCAGGATTTAAGGGGACCATCTACAACCACAGCACCCTGTTTCCACACAGGACACCTTAGAAAGCAAATCGAATGGCAGAAGTCAGTGTTCGGGGGACAGACTTAATGGAACAGAGTTGGTGTGGAAACGGTGGCAGGAACTGAGAGGCACAACTGGGGAGGGCAGTGTTTTGGAAGAGTCCACATACTGAGGGCTGGGAATAGTTTGGGAGCTACTGTGAAAATCTCCCAGGCTTCCCGTCAGATGAGCCTACCTTTTCCTCTTTGTCAGAACAATGGAGAGAGAAATACCTGCCCTCAACCAAGACCCAGCCCTGATAGGGTCTCTAAGCTGTTTCTCGCCTCTGGCACCCTCCTGCTAGGCTAACGGGACACCTTGCTGCTGGAAGGTTTTCACCCTGGGGTGTCCCCTTAGGTCTCAGGTCCTTACAGGTCACTGGTCCAATTGGTTCCCCTATTTATTTATTTAGTGCCAGTAATCGAATTCAGGATCCTGTGCTTGTCAGGAAGGTGCTGTGACACTGAGCTAGATCCCCAGCCCTCCCCCATTTTATTTATTAAAAATTCTTCTTTTAATTTTTTGAGATAGGGTCTCACTATGTAGTCTGGGCTGGGTTTGAATTCACTATGTAGCCCAGGCTGGCCTTGAACTCTCTGTGGTCTTCCTGCCTCAGCCTTCTAAGTGCTGGCTCTACACCCCCATTTTAAAGTGGGAAATCTGCAGACACAGAGTGCTGGGGTCCTAAATTGTGTCTGGCACTGGAAACCAGGCTTCTGCCTTCTCCTGGCCTCTCTCGGCTCCCTGACGCGCCCTTCTTCCTTCTTTGACGACAATAAGGAAATGAAAGGGGAGAAAAATCCAACCTCCTGGGTGGGGGTGCAGATCCCCTGCAGGCTTTCCCCCAATCGCAACCCCGCCCTGTGGGGGGAGATCCGGTTCAGACCCGGACACTAAGGGTTCATCCCAGCCCTGGGGCGTGGGAAAGCCTAGGGTGGATTAGAGCAGCTGGAAGGTTTGAGGTCAGACCTCCAAGAGAACTTCCCGGTGGGTGGGGAGCCAGAAAAGGAGGGCCCTGGGGCCCCAGAGAGCCCTGGGTTGAAGAAGTGCAGTAGAGTACAGGGGGATTTTAGTACTCTCTAGAGAACCCCTCACTTCAGCACCTCCCCCTTTCCTTATTCTGTGAAGGGACAGACACAACAGGGGTGACAGCAGGGGGTGCAGGGAGTGTGGGGCTTCTGAGGAATAAAGTGAGGCTAGGGAGAGACAGGGCAGGCTGGGGGGCAGGAGGGCAAGGAGGCAGGTGGATGGTGGGGTGGCAGGGCTGGGGAGTGGAGGAGAAACGGGGTGGGGAGAGGAGCAGAGGGTTGGAGAGTGGATTGAGGGGGATAGAATGGGCAGGGCGGGAAGACAGAGACAGAGACAGAGAGACAGAGAAACTGAGACGGGGAAAGGTGGGCAGATGCACAGAAAGACAGAAATGGCCAGGCCAGAGATTCCAGGCAGCCAGGCTGAGGGCTCTGGACACACACACACACACACACACACACACACACACACACACACACACGGAAG